CCAAAAAGCTTTGTGCCTAATATTATAAAAAATAATTAGTTAATACTTGTGAAAAATATATACTTATTATACCTAATTGTTAAGTATAAATCAATTTGATGCATAATATAATTACCGATTTATATCTACGAGTTCCTATTAATATACATAAAATAATAAACACTATCAACAATAATCCAATAAATATTATCATGAAAATCCATCTAAAATTCTCCTTGGAACTGTCTAGTTGTTCAGCCCCGTAACCAGAATCAATCAAATTAGTGTATAATCCTTTAGATAATAACGTAGCATTTTTATTTATTATCAATTCATTCAAATCACTTGCTAATTGTATTGCACTCAATTCTGTTATTGATGATGTTCCCTCAATATCAATTCTCATAAATATTTGATCAGTTGAATTAGTTGTGATATTCATTTCATAATTTTTGAATATGATCTTACTAAGATTGTCATTGATACTATCATGGTTGTTATGACTATATTGATATTTTGTTGATATTTTTATACGTGCTATATCACATGGAAGTGCATTGGATAATTCATTTGACAATTTGCCAACAAAATCCAATTGATCATTTATTGATAATGATGTGTAATATGTTGTACCCTCTGGTGTTAATTGAATTATGCAACTAACGGAACTTGAATCATAATTAACATACAATTCATTCCTGACTATAACTATATATATATACATATTAGAAGTGTATTGTATAAATTAAATTATAAATAGATCAATAAAACAATTTCTCTATAAAAAAAATTTTAAAAACCTGTATTAAAATCCCATATTTTTGGCTTTATGCCAAAAAGATTTTGATTAGTTACAGAATCTTTAACAAAATCATCTTCAATAGTCACATAATATTCACTTCCGGGGCTATTAAAGGTACTTTTTAAAACTTTGACTTGAACAGTGTTACCTTCGATTTGAACATAATCAGATTGACCAGAGCATGATTGACGCAATAAATCTTCACTCTCATCATAGTAATCATCATTGTTATTAATATTAATGTTTGTGCTAGAACGTAATTGGTAAATATTAATATTTCCTGATGATTTTTTAACTGATTTAGTATAAGTTATTGTGATTGAATCAGTATTTGCAGAAATTATGCTTGAATTTTTTTCTGGCACTGTTGACAATATACTATCAGATCCATAACCTCCAGGACCACCAGGAAACCCACTAATAGTATTGAAACTACCATTATTACCTTGAACTGTACTATAATTGGTTAAAGCATCGGTCAATAAACATGTCCAAGAATAATCGTCAGTTGGTTGTTTAGGTATTGTCCATAGTGTATTGTCAGGCAGAACCCCTGCAATTTTATTAGTGTATTGATATTGGCTTGAGAAGCTCCAATTTCCAAAATAGGTGCCATTATTACTACAAATGTGTCCATCAACATTACCAGTCGGAACAGTCTCTACTAAAATAACATATCCACCATAATACAATGTTTGAACATCCCATATTGTTGTTGTTGTATTTGAAACTTGAGCAATTGAAAATTCTGGTGTTACCGAATACAAGTTACCAGAAGATGTGAAATCAATATCTATAAATGATATGTTTGTTGATCTAACAATTGTAATCAGACAACTGTATCCTGAAAAGTAATAGGCGAGATCACACCTATGGATATTAACAATATCAATCGAACCATTACCATTTGTTTTACTTTTATATAACTCAAAAGGGCCTGTTGGTTGCAAACTATCATCAACAGATAAAAATGTTACAGCAATTGTCCAATCTCCAGTAAATTGATTACTATCAGTAGTTGTTTTTGTGTCAGTTGTACAAGTTACCATGGCATAACTTCCATCTTCTCTTGAAAAGAACTTTGTAATGTTTGGGTTAAAGTTGGTTATATCTGTTAATTTTCCAGTAGAAGTTTCTAATATTGTACCAGTAGAAATATTTCTATGTAATACGAAAATAATTAGGGGAAAGGTAATTTGAAATAGGGAAGAAAAAAATTTTTGAAATTTAAAATAGGAATTGGATTACTTACGGTACACTGTATTTTGTCCAAATGATTTCTTTTGTATCTTTAACATAACACACACGCAAAAATCCATCATCTTTTTTATGGCTTTGAATAATTATACTGTCATCACATACATTCTCAAATTCAATATTACTAATTATTATATTTATAGATTTAGAATCTGGTTAGATGTGAAATCAATAAAATAGTAAAGTTTACATACAAATCGTTTGTTTACCTTACTAATTCACCAGTCCAAGTAACGACATCACCACAAACTTTATTAGAAATGGAACGATTACAAAAATAATTTATTAATATATATTTATAAGCTATAGCATTTATTGTAATGCTATCACCACTACTGCTACCACCACTACTTTGTTTACTATTAGCAACCAATGCAAGTTTGTAGCAAAAATTTTCCCATGGAATGTTCAAATTATTTAAATTTAAAGTTGTAACAGTTTCATTTGTATGGACTAATCGTAAATAGATTGTATTCTCATTACAGTAATTTAAAGGATTCAACAATCTTAATAAAATTGTTCCATCCTGATAATTAATCCCATCAACTACTTTGAGGCCATTGTTGCTTGATTCAACATGATTTATTGCAGTCTCATATGCAAAAGTCGGATTAATTATTATATCAAAAATTGAAGAACTGATGAAAATCAACGTAAAGAACAATTTCACTTTCCAAATATTTTTAATAATAATAATAACGTAATTATGATTCACATACATTATAGAGAAAACTTTATTGCTCACTCTTTGATATTTTTATTATTATTATTATTTATATTAGGAGAGGTGAAATTTTTTCAAGAGCAATAATCATCAGCCAGTTAAAAAATACATTTTTAGGTTTTTTTTTAATTTGTTAAATTAATTTAAATTATCTGTTAGTTATTTTTGTCCTTTGTCTTTTACGATTTGATTATCGGTGAATCATATGGAAAATGATATTCACAAAAAAATTACCTTTTTTACATTTTTCCCCGAGAAAAAAAAAATAATCATCACAAACCTGCTTTCTTACACAAACTTGTCCTCACCCCTAAATTTATTTTAATCAACAAACTTATTTTTATCCACTAAATTTTATTTCTTCAACAAACTTGCCTTTATCCATTTATTTGTCTACGTCTTATAATCAATTGTTTGCAAACGCGTTTTTTCTCTTGGAAAAAAAATATATACCAAGTTTACTTTCTTAAAGAAAAATATCTTTGAACAGGTAGATTTTTGAATATAAAATTTAAATAAAATAAAGCGTTAAATAATAACACAAACTTAAAAATATTATTATTCGGCTACACCAGATTGACTTACTACCGATTGAGCGATTAAATAATAAATTATTATAATCATAATTACTTATATTGGTTTTAGTGTTATTATATTAACTTTTACCATATTGAAATATGGTGTGATAATGAATAGACATAAGAGTTTCCGAGTAATAATACAATTAGAATCTTTGATTTATTTAACACCAAAATATTAATTGTGCAAGTATCAATTGTAGCATAACATAATCAACATCAAATTATTCTGTTAATAGGAATAGGCAAACAATACTATTATTATTAATAATTCTTATTGTTCATCTAATTTAATTAGCAACCTTTAAACGAAAACGTAACAGTGAGTTTCGCGAAATACAGATTAGCAATAATATTCTTTGGTGTCATAACAACATGAAATCACAAGACTCAATCACATACATATATATTCGTTCGGAGCATCAAAATTAGCACCGGGTACAAATACTATCGTGTAATGCAAACTTTAATAAAAATAGACTATTTCATGGTCAGATGGTGCATTGATCGAGTAGTATAATAAATTACAAACAAAAACGCATAAATAGACCCGTTATCCCCATTTCGTGGACCAAAAAATCGCAAAAAAAAGGTGTATTGGGTTTGCTTTTTACGTTGCATTCAAATTCGAGGGACGTTCTATGTATGATTTGGCTTTACGCGTTACATTCAAATGTGAGGTATCTATATATTCGTTTGGAGCATCAAATTAGCCAGTCACATTATTATTATATCAATGCTTTTATTTCATTCGTTGCGTTGAGCAAAAAATTTATTCATTTAAAAAAAAATTACAAATACAAAAGGGAAATTGTTCGCGAATTTAATAAATTGAATAAAAGATCCTTTGCAAAGAAGAACCCTCATGTGAATCAAAAGTTATTTACGAATTTCGATTGTTAAAAATCTTTTTGTCCTGATCTTTTCCTCGTGTTTATTTATTTATCCCAGTTTAAAGACCAATTGGGATCAATTGGATTTTTTTTCCTTCAAGTCTATTGCTATAAAAGAATAAACTTCATGCAAACATCAAAAGTTTTTTACCAAATTTCGATTGTTAAAAAAAGATAAACTAAGCCTTTTTTTCTTAATTAAAAAAAAACCCTCCCCTTTACAAAGATCAATCAACGAATTTATTTGTTTTCTTCAAAAGGAATTTAGTAATCAAAAATAAAATTTTTCCTATATATCAAACGAACAGTCAAAACAACCGGTCCGCTCTTTATTTTGATTGGATAGAAATGTAAATATCTTATACTAAAAAAGGTGGATAGTGTAACCGAGGCACATAATTTAAAAATCTATAAAGTCATGTGAGAATCAATAAAAAAATTTTTTCTCTAAAAATTTTTATTTTATCACCTTTGAAAATAACATTCAACCATAACCAACAACAATAACAATAAGTAAAAGAAAATGGCTCATGATCAAGTATGGTTTTCTCGTCCTCGTCGTTATGGAAAAGGCTCACGTGAATGGTAACAATTAGTAATAATTTTTATTTATACAAATATTAGTTCTTCATTAAAATTTATATGAATTAATGAATGTAGTCGTGTGTGTAGCCATCGGGCTGGTTTAATTCGTAAATACAATTTAAACATATGTCGTCAATGTTTCCGTGAATATTCCAAAGATATTGGTTTTATCAAGGTATTTCGGGGTATATTATTTATTTATTTTTTTTTTTATTAATTATATTGATTTTTTTTTTTTTTTTTTGTAGTATCGTTGATTTTGTTCAAATAATGCATATATATTTATACAACGTATATTTATTATTATATATAATAAAGGTTTTTAGCAAATTTTTTTTAATTAAAAAAATAAATCAATTAGAATTAAAATTTTAAAATCTTAAAATACTATTTTACATAGTCAATTTACTTGTTGTATGATTATGAAAGTTGTGAAAGAGCACCATATAGACTCAATGTTCTCTTCTCTACTATCAAAGTAAATGAATCACCATTGCTAACATCAGGAAATTTTGAAAGTGCTGTTGATCTATGCTAATAATACACCATATCAATGATATATACGTAATTATGTTGATAAATAATGTTGATTTACACTTTTTAACTTATTTATTAATGATATAAATCAATGCCTGTTGAATAACAATAATAAATAAAGTATTCTAAAACATAATTTACACAATATTCATTATATTTATTATAACATGAATTAATTCGAGATTCGGCCAAAATAAATCTATTAAAGGACAAACCATATTTAAAAAATTGATTTTCATTTTGTAATGGCAATCGTGTTTTATTCGTTATGATTCGAATTACATTGAATGTTTATTCGAATAAAACGAATTAATATTAAGATTGAGTTGTATTACGAATAGAAACTCTGCTTGCCGAAACAAACACCTTAATCCGTATAATAATCATCAATTTCTTCCTCATTCATATTAATTGCTACGTTGTTGCATGGTTACAAGTGTTGAGCGTCTTGAAAAGGTTCTTGTGCATTCACTACACCTCAACATCGTAAATAATAATAATGGTCTGTCTATTTATAATTATTCTGTTTAAATAAGTAATGATGATAGAATAAGTAACTCTGATTTAAACTAATTGATATCACATTTCAATCTCTAATCATAAAAAATGATGAATTTTTTAATTTCCTTCTTTTCATTCTTTTCAACTTTCTCTAGTATCAAATATGAATATAAGAGAATCACACAAACATTTCTCTAATAGAGTGACGAACTAAGGTTTCCGGTCCAAACTATTTTCGAATAAAGTAGTGTTGACAATAGTTTGGGCTTCTCAATATTTTTTTATAAGAATCAACATGGAAAAACCATACAAATCAACCTATTTTGATTTAAATAATTTCACACCATTTAGGCTATTAATAAAAATAGTTTGGGCCTATAAAAAATTAATTTTTGCCCAAAGTGTTTTGGCAATTTCGGCTACTAAGAGAGGTAGTTTCGATTGGAAACCTTATAACGAACTTGATTTCCTTAATTCGACCATTTAACTATCTTAACAAGAGTCGATACCATGGTACGCCTTTTGACTATATAAATTTTGTTTATAGATATAAGTTAGCATGTGTAAAAAGTGTCAATTAATAAAAAGAAAAATAGAGACGGTTTTACTGTAAGTTTCTCTTTTAAAGACGAAAATAATTACATGTATAATTGGTAGGACAAAGTTGATGCAGATGTCTTTATCGAACATTGTTAGCTAACTGATGATTAACTAAAGGAACACCTTCACCGCAAGATTATCGGGAAGAATAGTGCTAACGAATTATTAGATTCTCTTAAGGTTAAAAAAAATTACATTTAGTAGTTAGAGATGCAACAATTGCTTTATATTAATACTATTTTAATTTTTGTTTTATTAGCATTTTCTCTCTATGTAACAATTAGTAATACTATGTTTGTCGTGTGAAACAAGCATTGTGATGTACTTTTGATGTTTTTCGTCTCTCACCTTTTAATGGCAACAAAATGAAGGAAGGGAACAACGATGCTAAAGCTAAAATGACATATGACGCTTATTAATTCATATAATTTTTGATCCGTCACCAAAGCTTGACACTGAACATTGTTGATCAGCGTTTTGCACTTTTGCAGAAAAAACAGGAAGTATATATAATAATTTAGCTCCAAATCGATTTCTAAATAAGGCCAACCCACCAATAAAATTGGATATTCTGCGCAAAATACATTATAATCTTTTGCACAAAAAAAAATTTTTAATATATTACTCGAAATCCCGTTTTTCCCAGAGCACCCCCCAAATACGAATCGATCATTCAAATTTATTTTATTGCAAATTATTTTGCTCGCGACCAATAATAATGGTTATAATAACAATAATACAGTGAACCCTCTATAAGTGCACCCCCTCGGGAACATAGTGCTATTTCTTGTGAGCGTGCATTTATGGAGGGTGTGCATTTGCGGAGGGTGATTTTATAAGCTCTCTATAAGCTTGGGGATGAGATGGGCCGTGCATTTATGGAGGGTATACATAGTGCGTGCATTTAGGGAGGGTGCACTTAGGGAGGGTTCACTGTAGCAATAATTATAATATTTGGATTTTATTTTTATAAATATCAATAAATACAAATCAATAAAATACAAATCAATAAAATACAAATCAATAAATACAAATATTAAATATATATTTCAAAATTTATTTTATTATTAAAATTATAATTTTGTTCTCGGGATTATGAAAATATTATAAAAACTTACCAAAAGGTGGCCACCTGCCAGCTAACAATGACAATTCTTTTCGATAAACTGGAAGAATTGCCAAGAAACCAGTAAAAAGAAAGAAAACGATAGTCGAACAAAATTTAGAACAGGAAAGGGAAAATTTAAAAATTCATAAAAATGAATGTTAGCCGGGGATCAAATCCGGTGATCAAAAAGATCAGAGAAGTGGGATTAAAAGGAATTCAAAAGGGTATCGGTCCACAGTTCTACTCTTACTGGGAGAAAAGAGAACTGACAAGAGAAAAGCAGGATCGAAAGAACTATAAAAAAATTTTTTATAAAAAAAACGATGAAAAATGTGAACAATATAACAAACAATATAACAATAAACAAACAATATAAAAAAAACTTAGCGAATTTCCAAGGGAAAAGCCTTTCGACTAAAGAAATAAGCAAGTACATAAATTATTATTAATAAAATAAAAAATAAAGAAAATGACAACAAAATAATAATAAAATAATTCCGAGAACATTTCAAAATTAAAGGAAAGAGGGAAAAATTTTATGAGAAAATAATAATAATAATAATAATAACAATATTCCAATAAAAGGAGGCTATATATATGAACGCGAATATATATACCGATCGGCAGAAATTATTATTAATTAATTTTTTTAACTAGAAAAGTATCAGCCAGATTGAAATTGAATAAAACCAGTACAACCAAGTCAATGCCAAAGTGAAAACAAGATTTTAAGCTTAGCATGAATTTATATATCTTTGGATTGATTACAGGAATAAAATAAGTTTATTTTGTATCACTAAACTTTAGTCCTCTGAAATTTCTTGTCTCTATTTTTATTAATTATAATATAAAATTATCATTATTTTATAATTAAAATGAAATTGATAGAGGGAGTATATATATAAATTGTAGCTTTCATATTTATAATCTAAATTAATAATAATAATAATATAGCTTATGATGATGATAATAGAATCCTTACTGTCATCAGATCTAAATTATAAAAAAATTTCTATTAGCACAAAAAATATAACCATCCACCAGGCAGAGATTTAATACCAAGCACAATGTTACAAATTCATGAGTTTAAAATAGCGAAAGCAAAAAATGGCCAAACGAAAAATAATTGCACAACGATTAAAATTCCTATAAAATAATAAAAATAATTTTAAACATATTATTATTTAATAAAATTAATTTAAAAAAAAAAAATACTCACCCAATCCACATCTACATCCAATGCCCACTGGAACTTTTCATGGAGGCTCTTGTTGAAAATTTTAGTGATTGGCACATCATATTTTTTGCACCATGCAACAGAGATCTGTGGGTCTATATAATGAATCTTTGATGTGCCTAACGCAGTTGTCTTGTTGTCCTCTTTATCTTGTTTTAATAACTTGGTGGTTTTAATACATTCTGTCAAATTTTCTATTTGTATCCGGAGTTTTTCACTTGTTTGTCCTTTCCTTGGATTGGCCTTTGCAGATTTTTGTTCATCAATGTTTTTTAATAATTGTTCAAGATGCTCATCAGGTTTAGGTGACTTTCCTTCTTCTGTAAGCTTTTCATTATCTCTTTCAAATTTTTTTACAACTGCCAAACGTTCCCTTTCCATCAATTGCTTCTCATGCTCAATTATTCATTCCTCTTCCATGTCTGATTCTGGTTCAAATAGTTGAGGCTCTTTCTTTTTACATATATTTCTTTGGTATTTCAAAGCATGGATCTAACATATTAAAGAATACATACATGTGAATTTATTTAAGAAATTAACAATAATCATGATAAAAAAAAAATACCTTATTGTCAATTCTATTGATTTGATTATCATGATCTTTGCTGACTGAATGTTGATGGTTACATAAAATAGCAACCTGTCTGTTTGCTTTCTTATATGCTGCTATTTTCTCTGTTACAGTAGTAGCATTCTCCATCCCTTTCTTTAGCTCAATTTGGAAGGTACAAGATGCATTGTATGTACGAAATACTTTGATGGTTAGTCCTTTCATGTATTCAGACAAATGTTTATTCAAATCTTGAGTCTAAATGAATTTTTAAAGAAAATTTGAATTTATTAATAGAACAAACACAAATGCACACACATATATGTGATTGATTAAATTTAAATCTTGTATTTTTGTACCGTTAATCTGTCAAATAACTCTTCACTGGATTCCTTATCCTTCATAAATATTCTAAGGTTTTTGAAAACTTGTTCTATTACTTCTACCAAGTTTGCATATCTTACTGAATTTTTACCTAAGAAATCAAACTCAACTGTCCTTGGTGATACCAAAGTAATATGTTCACATCTGAGGGAACAACAACCCACAGTATCTGCTTTTTTGCCAGTTTTCTTGCTTCCTGCTCTTAATGCAAGCTTGTCAATAAGGTACAGGGCAGTAGCACGTTGGCGAACTGACCCGAACCTATCTCTTAAGTCCTGCATGTAGTCATGCCGAATTTTTTCTAGGTGCTCATCGAGCTTCCTAGCTTTATTGAATTTTTTTTAGGTCATTTCGACCTTTAATTTTAATTTTTTTTTCTCTAATATATTGGTTAAATGTATTAATGAAACTAATGACAAGTGGCGGGCGATAACCACCACCATCCTTAAAACACTTACTCTCTTTCCGTTATTTCTTTTTCTTGTCTTCTTTTTTTTGTTGTAGATTTTGACATTTTTTAAAAGAATTTTTAAAAAGAAGTTTGTATTTGTTCATTAATTATTTATCCTATTGGTTTTTTTTTTTGGTAGGACAGACGCGAATTGATTTTTTTTTTTTTGACAGAGCCCAAGGTGACAAAACGTGAGTGTTGTTGTTTGGTTTGGGTCTCTTAAAGAATATGTGTTAATAACTAACCAGAGGTACTTTTTTTTATTTGTATTGATATGTATGAGGTGTCTTTTATTTTAAATTGGAAATCAAAATGTGGAGCAGATCTTGCTGGGTAATTACAAGATTTTCATTGATAATATTTTGCTTTGTGCAATCAATAATAATATTATTATAATATTATACTATTATAATTACAAGATGTCAAGGCAATACACCATTTAAAAAGAAACAATTTGATATACAATGTTTGATTATCGGAAATTTTTAGAGATGTTGAAGCATGCATGCTACCTTGAACACTTTACGGTCATTCACACATGTTCCTCATGTACACAAGGCTAATCTGACTTGCAATGCCCCAATGATATGATGATGCAACAGAATTCCAGGGGGTCGCTCTGCCCTGGAGCTACATTAAAACTGCATCAATTGTCAAGGATGCTTTTCATTAATCTTCCCTTATAGCACCAGACCAGAGAAGGCCGCTGGCACACTGGCCAAAAAGTTACCTGCAACAATCCCACCTCTAGGGCAAGATGGCTCTGTGACCAAGTTGCAACTTTGTTGATACTCCTATTGTGATAGCTACCATGATCACTGGCATCAAGGAGAAAGCTGTAAAATAAAATGGTTTGGATTTTGTTTGGTATGTTATAAATTAATC